AAAAAAAAAAAAAAAAAAAAACTTACTTCTTATTTCAGTGATACTTAATAATTTTCATACAATTATGTACCTTTTTAGGTATGTGAGTCCCTTATTCACCACACTAAAACTCTCAAATAAATTTAGCACAATTTCAAAGAAAAGTTAAAATCGAATTACTTAGTTAATCGAAAATCAAGATAGGTAAGAAGACTTAGTTGCTCAATGTTGAACACTCTATAAGAAATATTGATCAAAACCAAACTTAAATGTTCCAACCTGTAACTTATATCAAGAATTGCAAGCAAAAAGAGCTTCAAATCACTAGTCACTAACTTAAAAGAAATAGCTCAAAAGCACCCCATTCATTTAGTTCAAACTAATCTCCCTGATAAGCTTATACATGACCTACCAATTAAAAAATATATATAATTGAAAACAAGTATTAATTCTAATGGAAATAATACTAAGGCAGAACCCTTAATACTATGGCTTAATTGGACAAACCCTAGTCAAAATAAAAATAAAATAGTAATATTCAAACATAAATTATGACACTAATTTGAATTTAACGAACAAAGTGAAACATCCCTAATATTCCAAAGTATCCAAAAGTAGAATGGTAAATTAATACCAACTCACAACTTCTTGATTAGAGATATATATCCATTATCGCTGAATTATGTTCGTTTTGACATAGAAACTTCTTAATTCATATCACTCTAATACTTTTGATATTTTAGTACAATTGTTTAGACCTCTCACCTAAGAGGACGAGACAATGATGGTGACAAAACCAATTTCTCGTTACAAATAAAAACTGTCCAATCAAATCCTTACACATTTTTTAATAAAGTATTAATTGAACAAACTYTTTCTTTTCTTTTTTTGATCATAGAATCAAATTCCTTTTCAAACTGACTCAACTCAACAACCTCAACTCAACAACCCTAAGAAAATTTTTGCTTTTTATTTTGAGAAATAAAAGGAAATGCTGAACCTACACGTGGCACATGCCATCATCAATTGAACTTTATCCAGAGCGGTTCATCAAACTCTCCCGTCAGCTTCTCTCCAGCGACCTCGTCCTTCAAACTCATCGCGGATAACGCCAGCTCACTCCCGTAATGCCACGTCGGAGTTCCATTTTCGTACCCACTCCACGTCAGCCTCCTCAAACCGGTCCCATCCAGTCGCACAACAAACAAATCGCCATATGGCTGAAACTGATTGGGCAGAGAAACCGGCTCCACCGTTACCCCGCCCAAATTCGACGTAAAGAGCAG